TACCCTTTCCTTTTTACTTCCCTGTAGGGTAAGATAGATTTCTACACCCAACTGAGTGTATATGTTATTCTCTCTTTCAGTCACTTCTAATGAGAGTAAGGTTCAAGCAAGGCCCACTACTCCCCATCCCGGCCATCTTCCCCTCCATTGTAAAAGCTCTTCCTTTTGCTCCTCTTTTATATGAAATAATTTCCCTCATTCTTCCTCTCTTTTCCTTTTTTCCCCAGTGTGTCACACTCACCCCTTAATTTTATTTTAAAAAATCATCCTGTCATAGTCCTCTCACACCCTTGTCCTCTGTTTATGTATACTCCTTCTGTTTGCCCTAATAATAATAAAATTAGTAGGAGTTATAATTATCATCTTCCCATATAGCAATGTAAACATTTTAACCTTATCAATTCCCTTATGATTTCTCTTATGTTTACATTTTATACACCCCTTGGGTTTTGTGTTTGAAAGTCAAATTTTCTATTCAGGTCTGGTCTTTTTACCAGGAAATGCTTATTGGGACAATGCTTTATTCAAGAAAATCCTCTATTTCATTGAATGTCCATTCCCACCTCCCCAATCCCTCAGAGGATTATACTCAGTTTTGCTGGATAGGCTGTAATCCCAATCCCTTTGCCTTCTGGAATATCATATTCTAAGTCCTCTGATCCTTTAATGTGGAAGTGCTAAATCTTGTGTGATCCTGACTGCGGCACCATGATATTTGAATTGTTTCTTTCCAACAACTTGCAATATTTTCTGCTTAACCTGGGAACTCTGGAATTTGGCTCTAATATTCATGGGAACTTTCATTTTGGAATTTCTTTCAGGAGGTGATGATTGATTCTTTCAATTTCTATTTTACCCTTTGGTTCTATGATAGGAAGGCAATTTTCCTTGACAATTTCTCGAAATATGATGTTCAGGCTCTTTTTTTGATCATGGTTTTCAGGTAGTCTAATAATTCTCAGATTATCTCTCCTTAATCTATTTTCCAGGTGAGCTTTTTCCCAATGAGATATTTCATACATTTTCCCATTTTTTCTTTCCTTTGATTTTATTGTTTCTTGGTGTCTCATGGACTCATTAGCTTTCACTTACCCAATTCTAATTTTTAAGGAATTATTTTCTTTTTTTTCCTTTTTTTTCAGCCAAAGACAAGGAATTATTTTCTTCAGTGAGTTTCTGTACCTCTTTTTCCATTTGACCAATTCTGCTTTTTAAGGTCTTATTTTCTTCAGTATTTTTGTGCCTCTTTTACTAAGCTGCTGACTCTCTTTTTATAATTTTCTTGACTCACTCTCACTTCTTTTCCCAATTTTTCTTCTACCTGTCTTATTTGACTTTTTAAAATCCTTTTTGAGCTCTTTTAGTAATTCTTATTGGGATCATATCTAATTCACATTTTTTGAGGCTTTGCTTATAGCTGCTTTGACATCATTGTCTTTTTCTGGGTTTGTATCTTGATCTTTCCTGTCACCATAGTAACTTGTTATGGTTAGGTTCTTTGTAGTCTGCTCATTTTTCCAGCCTATTTCTTGATGTTCAACTTTATGTTAAAGTTGGACGCTGTTCCTAGGGTAGAGGGGGAGCTGTCCCAAGCTCTAAGCCTTTCTTGCTGCTGTTTTCTGAGGTAGCTCTGGGAGGTCTGTAGGTTTTACATACTTCCAAGGTGGTACGATGTAAGGAGAAGTGTGGTCACCGCTCTCTTGTTCTGTACTCTGATCTTTACCCAGGAAGGGACTTTGTTCTCCTGTAGACACCAGCACTAGCACTCCTCCTGGCCTTGGGTCTGTGACCAGGTCCTCCTTGCTTCTCTGCAGCCTCAAGTGCTATCTCTCCTTTTGCCTCTGGGATTGTGACCTGGAACTGCATATGGGCAATGCCATGGGGTCCTGATCCCAGCATCAGCAAAGTGTCCTCTGCAATTTCCTTCCAACCCACCCCCACCCTCACCCCCATCATCTGTGGGCTGAGAGCTGCCGAAGCTGCTGCAGCTTCCTCCAAAGTGTGACCTTTGCTACCTGCACTGCCTTCACCTGTGCCACGTTCTTGAGGTCTCTGGTGAGACAGACCTTTCTTGCCAACCTCCTAAATTGTCTTGGGTTGGAAAATTGTTTCAGTCAACCTTTTTTGTTAGTTTTTTCACTCCAGAATTCAATTTGAGGCATTATTTTAGAGTTGTTTGTAGGGGAATTGAGAGAGCTCAGCTGAGTGGACAAATATAAAGGATGGTGAGTAAACTGTTTTTGTTAGAGGTTAGAATATACACAAAAAGGAACTGTTTAAAATAAGAATGGAAAGGTATTTTGGGACTAGATTGTGAAGGGACTTAAATATCAGTTGGGGTGGGGGATTGGACTTGATTCTTTATGCACTGGAGAGCCACTGAAGATTTTTGAGCAGGACAGTGAATGGCAGCGTTAGGCCTGGACATTAGGAAGATGGCTCAGATAGGTTATGCAGATAGATTTAGGGGAGAAAGGAATAAGCATCTTTTAGTTGTCTGCTGTGTAAAAGGTACTGTGCTAAGCACTTTTTACAAATATTATCTCATTTGATCCTTACAACAACCCTGCAAAGTAGATACTATTATATTCATGTTAACGTTCAGTAAAGTGAGCCAGATAGTGGCTAAGTGATTTGCCAAGGTCACACAGCTACTAAGTGTCTGAGGCTGGATTTGAACTCAGGTCTTTCTGATTCTGGGCCCAGACCTTTATGCACTATGGCACCTCACTGCCTCTGATTGAGGATGGGTGGTAAGGTCAATAGGGTGAAAACTGGCAATTGGGACACCTGTTGGGAGGCCATTACAGTACAGGTGGTCTTTGTCCTCGGAAGTATAAGCATTGTATATCTCCTATACCCATAATCCAGTCTCAGGAAACCTCTGTGGTCCTTTCCTCTCGTGAATAGGTGCAGGGATATTCTGGAATGCCCTCTCTCCACATTTCTGCCTCTTCATCCTTCAGGACTTAGTTCAAATCTCATCTCTAGGAAGCCTACCCTGATCCCTCAGTAATCACCCTTCTCCTCTTATCTCTTTGTGCTGACTGCCTTTCAGCAGCCTGGTACAGCTGAAGATGCAGTGTAGTGTATTCCAAAAAGCTTTGGATTTGGAGTCAGAGGCCTTTTATTTAAATCCCAGCCTTGCTATTTACTACTTGTGTGGCCTTGGAAAAGTTATTTCCCTGCCATGAGCCTAATTTCCTCTTCTGTAAAATGAGAGGGTTGGACTAGATACCCCCTGCTCTGAGGTATGCTGCTATTGTTTCTCTTTGGCTTGGAGGCCCCTTCTGAGACATAAGCTGCAGGTAGGGGTGTGTGTGTGTGTGAGTGTGTGTGTGTGTGTGTGCTTTTCCAGTCATAACCTCTGGAATCGACCAAACTCTATAACTGGATAGAAAGAGAGAGAGGCCTATAGAACAGTCTCATTCTCCAACTCATTCTCCATTCCCTGGTGGGCCCAACCAGCTTTGGGTGGAGTAGTGTGACCCTGAGCCCTAGGTTACATTTCTGAGGCAAGAGGAAAAAGGAACAGTTTAGCAGAGAAGCAGGAAGCATGGGCATTACAATCTGGCAGAGGTATCATGCCCATACACATACCTAATTCCTCATCTAATTTCTGTTTCAAGGGGGATGCCTGGTCCACACTGGTTCATGAGAAGAAAAATCTGACAATCTGTGAGAAAGGCTTCCATATTGGGCATGTGGAGGATTTAGTCCATCATGTGAACTAATCCCAACTCTTGCTATCATCAGCATGACACAGGGGAAAGAAGATTTGGACTCAGTTACCTGGTTTCAAATCCCATTTCTGACACTATCTATCTGACCTCGGGCAATTCACTTAATGTCTGTGGGCCTCAGTTTCCTCATTTGTAAAGTGAGAGATTTGGAATAGATAGCCTCCAATGGCCCTTCCAGCTTGAAATTTGTGATCCTGTGATCCTTATCACCAATATAGCTTTAGCCATAAGGAATGTGGACAGAGGAGATGGACATAAATGGAATAAATGAATATTCATCGATTATGAGTGTATTTCAATGTTTCAATTAAATGAATGTTTATTAAGTACCTCATAGGGGCAGAATTAATCCTGTCTAAAAGACATGATTTCTGGGGCACCAAGGTGATGCAGTCTTTGAGTCAGGAGGACCCGAGTTCAAAAAATGGTCTCAGACACACAGCACATGATGCTTACCAGCTGTGTGACCCTGGGCAAGTCACTTAACCCCCGATTGTCTAGCAAAAAGCAAAAAAAAAAAAAAAGACATAATTTCTCTCATTACGAAGCTCATGGTTTATGTGCAGAGAAAAGACTCACACAAAGGACACAGAATGTGTCCTTTACACATTTACATAGGGTGTTCCAAAAGTCATTAATGAAGTTTTAAGCTGCTGGAGCTTAAAGGCAGGACGTGAAGACGGGTCTTCTTGAGTCCAAGACCAACCTTATATGCCACACTGCCTTTAGAGAGATAAGAAAATTGGCATAGGGGTTGATAGTTGCTGATGTCCTCTCAGTACTAATAACTCAAAGTGATTTCTCCCAATTGTTTGACATCTTTTTATCTTCAAAATAAGTCCCCAAGTTGTTTTCAAAATGAGGTTGTCTCTAGTGGGAATTTCCTCTGCTTTTAACTTGGTTCAGTCCAGTTGCTCTTCCTGATAACTTCTTAAGTGTTCTTCTTAAGATACTCTTCTTAAGTGCCATTTCTCTTCCTTCATATAATTAGGCACTGAGGTATTGACTCTAAATGTGTTTCTCTACTGTCATTGATGATTAAACTACAGAACTATGGATCACTGGCAAATCTGCTAGTTCAGCTTCTGTCCTTCCAGTTTTCTTTAGTGATGCTTTTGGTGTAACCTGGTTTAGTTGTGTAGCATGCCAGGTTTTCTGGAGACTAACTGCTCTTTCTACTGCTTTCATATACATCATATACATATATATATGTGTGTATATATATATATGTATATATGTATATATATATATGGAAATATTGCTTTTAATCTTCTGACATTCTTTTTAATGTTTTGCAAATGAGCTTGTGCTCTAAACCAATGCTGCCTTTGCTTGTCATGTCTCTCCATCTTACAGAAAGATCATGTGTTTGCTGGCTGTTTGTTGGCTCACATAGCCTCCACGTTGTAGCTGCTGCTTCACATCAGCTAAACTGTAAGAAAAAGATAATCAGTCATTGCCTTTGCTAAATTAATTTCCTATCTTTCAGATTCAATAGCTTTTTAGAATTGGTCAGGCTGAAGCTTTTTAAATTAGCCAATATGTCTTCTTATCTTTATCATTTCTTGTAATTTGTCATGTTTAATTTTGATTTAACTAGTTCATGCTCTGACTGCTGATTCAGAAATGACTCTCACTTTAATAGCCGGTTATTTCATCTCTATTAAATTAAATTCAGTTTTTGTGATGTTGTTTAATAATTATCAATGCCATGTCCCAAGCCTTCAAATTCTCTATCGTGCAACCACTTTTTTCCTTGGCCCTTCCTTTCCATTGCAATCTCTGGAACTACCATTTAATTATTTAACAGACTTCCCTTCATCATAGATTTCTTTTTGCATTTCTCATCTTCACGTGTCTATGGAAACCTAGCTCTTTTCAGAAGACACTATCCAGAAGATGCCACTTCTAATGCCAGCTATTGCTTCTTTCACATACTCTGATTATACCATGGGCAGGAGTAATTGACATACTTGTTTTCTCCCTCCCCACAACTTCCAGCCTCTCCTGTCACCCTTACTCAACAACTTTTCCTGGGGTTCAAATCATTCATCTATACCCATTTATCCAAGGTCCCTATTGCTGTGATCTACTGGCCCCTAGGTCAGACTCCTTTCTCAAGGAGTTCAGTACCCCATTTATAGTCTTGTTCTCTATTACAGCTTCTAGCTGATGTCCCTCCCTGACCCCTAAACATCCCAGCTTTTAAATTAAAAAACCACAAACCAAAACTTCTTAAACCCCCATGGCTTGGAGCTTCACCCTACTCAGCTACCCACAAGGATGGACATGTAATGTCTCTCTATCACCCATAAATGTGCCACCGCCATGATTGAGACTCTGACATTCCCCTTTCTGATTATAATAACCTGTCCTTCTGTCTCTTCCTCTGCCTTATTCCTCCTAAAATATTCTTTGGCCTCACAGTAACCACCAACCACCCTTCCTCATCCCTATAGAGGCCTTTTTCCCATCTTCACTGTGTTGACCCCTTATTTCCTTTGCCTCCAGATCTTATTACCATTTATACCTTGCTAGTCCCCAACCATAATGCCACTTGGCTCCACTACAAATTCATGTTATCTTTTTTCAAATGTGTTCTCACTCCTCAATATGATAAAACTCTTATTTTTCTTTGAATACCTCAATCACCTTAACTGTTCAAACCTTCTCTTCTTGATTCAAACCCCCATTCCCTTTTTCACCTTCTCTCAGTAGATGTTTTCACCTTTTACTTGCCTACAAAAGAGGTAATTCACACAGAGTATCCTTTTCTTCCGTACTCCAGTATCTCAAAATCTCTCCATATCATCCTTCCTCAGCACCTCCACCCTTGGAACTCTTCCCTCTGAATGGAGAGGGTAAAGGATGGAGAACTGCTTCCAGATCTTCCACTATTTAAAAAGGTGAGCATCTAGGGAATTTTCTTCATCATTTCCTCCCCTTCCCCTGCCTCTGGTATCCCTCCCTCTGATTGGAGAGGATGGAAGATGGACATTGGAGAGCTCCTTCAAAATCTTTCAATAATTAATTAATTTTAATTCTCTCATCATTTCCTTCATTTCTTACCCAGCTACTTTCCTGGACTCCAGGACACTCATCTTCAGAAAGTTATCATTCTGCAAGATGAAGTCAACTCAGAAACTCACACCTACCCAGCACTCCTCATCCCTCCCTCCTTCTTTGTGGGCATCTAGTTGTTCCTCCTCCACTTAAGGCTGGCACCCAAGGAATTCTTACCATTTCCATTCTGTATATTTTCCTGGGCTTCATCTTTTCCAGAAACATCATTCTGTAAGATGAAATAAATATGGCAATTCACACCTCCATAGATTATTTCTCACCCTCACCCATGACTTAACCTCTGGCTCCTTTTTATTGACTCTGACCCATTCTTTACTTTTTTGCTCTTATTTGAGGAAATAGTGACCCTTCTGCTTGTCAAGGTCAAGTCTTACACCTAAATACTTGATCCCATTCCCTCCTAACCCCTTCCTTCAGGAGCTTGCTCTACTGGTCATTACCTTTCTATCTATCATCTCCAGTATCTCCCCATTTACTCTCCTTGTCCTCACTGCCTAAAAAGAAGCTAAGGTTTGCCCCATTTTTTAAAAAAACTACCACTTGACTCACCATCTCCTCAAGCAATTGGCCCTTATCTCACTTCCGTTTTTACCAGTTCCTAAAATCATCTGCGGCCTAGAGTTTAGTCAAGAATTCTTAATCTCTTTTTGTGTCAAGGCTCCCTTTCGAGTTCTGGTGAAGCCTATGAACCCCTTCTCAAAATAGTGTTTTTAAATGCATAAAATAAAATACATAGGATTATGAAGGAAATCAATTATATTGAAATATAATTATCGGGATATTAAAAAACAAAAGAAGTTCATAGACCCTAGGTTAAAAATCTTATTCTATTTCCTTATCATCCAACCAGGGTCTGAACCCTGGTTCTCAATAATACATTGTGATCTGGCTTTTGACCTCACCACAACTAGTATTACTGTCTCCAAGTTCTAACAGTCTTTTGACTGCTTCATCTGACAGCCTTTTCTCAGTCCTGGGCCTTGTTATCTACAGTTCTGTATACCAATGACTACTCTTTCCTCTTCAACATTTTCTCCTCCCTTGGCTTTTATGACATAGCTCTCTGATTCTCCTCCCACCTTTGTGACCATGCCTTAGTCTCTTTTGCCTGGATCATAATACATCTCCTGCCACCTAAGCACAGTTGCTTCCCAAGGCTTCTTCCTGGGTTCTCTTCTCTATCCTTCCTTCCTTCTCTCCTGCCTCTCTGTCTCTGTCTGTCTGTCTGTCTCTCTGTCTCTCTCATCTTTTCAGTTTTTATGGGTCCAAGTGTCTTTAAGCAGATAATTCCAATATCTACATGTCTAGCCCCAATTTCTGATCTTTCATCTCCAATTCTTTATCATCTAACTCCTCCTGAATATCTCTTAGGCATCTTAAACTCAACATGCTTTCTACCTCTAAATCTATTTTATACCCCAAAATAAATTTATTTCCTTTCATGCTAAGCATATCCCTTGCAAACATTCTTATTTCTATTGAGGGCACTACCAGTTCCACAAGCACCCAGGTTTGTAACCTCAGAGAAAGAGGAGACAAAAAGGAAGAGGACAGGGATGGGGGGGGAGGGGGGGAGAGAAGGACATGAGAATTACAAAGGAGGGAGGAGAAGAAGAGAAGAAAGATGGAGAAAAGTTGGAAGAAGGGGGAGGAGGCAGTGAAAGAGGGAGGGAGGAGAAGGATAGGAAGGAGAGAAAGGGAATGAGAAGGAAAGGGAAGAGGGAGAGGGAAGGAGAGGAAAGAATGAGAATGAAGAGGAGTAAGGGGAAGAGAAGAAGGGAAGGAGAAAGAAGGAAAGAAAGAATGAGGAGAGGAAGGGAAGGAGAAAGAAGGGGAATGAAGAGGAGGATGAAAGGGAGGGGAAGAGAAAGTGAAGGAGAGAAAGGGAATGGGGAGGAGGGGGAAGGGGAGGAGAAAGAGGAGAGAAAGGGAATGAGGAGGAAGGGGAGGAGAAAGAGGAAGAGGAGGAGAAGAAGGAGGAAGGGGAGGAGAAAGAGGCAGGGCAGAATGCGAAGGAGACAGTGGTAGGGATGGTGCTGGTGGCATCTTGGGAATGACAAGAGCAGGCTGCCCCAACTTGGGGGAAGGGGCACGTTAGCATGTTTGTATTCTAAGGAGCCCAGCTCCTACAGCGTAAGCCAAAGTTCAGACCCTGGTCCACATTTCCCCAGCCTCCGCCCCTTCCCCTTCTCCTCTTCTGTCTCCCCCTCCCTGCCTGCCTCCTGGTACGGCCACACGGAGAGATCAAGTGCGGAAGGAGGAGGCGGCGGAACATCAGAATCAGCACCAGCACCAGCACCAGCACCAGAACCAGCGCAGCCGCGGAGGGCGAAGGCAGAGCCAGGGCCGGAGCGTGAGCCTGAGCGTGAGCCCGAGCTAGCGATCCCGGCGAGGGCGGGGCGTGGACTGAGCGAAGCCGCTTCCCGGGCGTAGCGTGAGGTGAAAAAGCAGCCTCCCCACCGCTGGTCCACTTAGGAGCCCGTGAGCGCATAGAGAGCAACATGTCAGCGCCGGCGGCCAAAGTCAGCAAAAAGGAGCTCACCACCAACCTCAACGAAGCCCTTGAGACATCGGAAATACAGCTACAAGAAGCAGTGGAACGAATCGATGACGTGCAAAGTGAAATAGACAAACTGAACGAGCGAGCCAGTGCGGAAATTTTGAAAGTGGAACAGAGCTATAACCAGCTCCGCCAACCTTTCTTTCAGAAGAGGTCAGAGTGGATCGCCAAAATACCGGACTTCTGGGTGACCACCCTTCTCAGCCACCCTCAGTTGTCCTCGCTGTTTGGGGAGGAAGATGAGGAAGCCCTGCGTCACTTGACCAGGATCGAAGTGATAGAATTCGAAGACGTGAAATCGGGTTACAGAATAGATTTTTATTTTGATGAAAACCCTTACTTTGAAAATAAAGTGATCTCCAAAGAGTTTCACCTTGATGAAAGTGGGCATCTGGCTTCAAAGTCAACTGAAATCCATTGGAAATCTGGAAAAGACTTGACCAAGCGCCCGAATCAGATCCAGACTGAAGGTGGCCGCAAAAGGTTTCGAAAGGAGGCAGACAGCTTTTTCACTTGGTTCTCAGACCATACCGATGCTGGAGCAGATGAGTTAGGAGAGGTCATCAAAGATGATATCTGGTTAAATCCCTTACAGCACTACCTGGCATCTGATATTGATGATGAAGACAGGGAAGGAGAAGGAGACGAAGAAGAAAATCTAGAGGAGAGTGTTGGTGATGAAGAGGAGAGTGAAGAGGAGGAAGATGACGGGGAACGTGATGTTGAGGGAGAAGACGGAGGGGAGAATACGGGCCAAAATGACTAAGAGAACATTGATGGATTCCAAAACTCCCTTTAGCTTTAAAAAATGTCTCCAGTTCCTGGGCGCGAGTTTCAGTCTTTTTATTTTCATTTCGTCCTCAGTCACCTTGTTCTCTTGAGGGTTCTTTGTTTCCTCATACCATAGTTCACAACTTTTTTTGTTTCTGGGGGTACAGGGAATACTTTGAGCAGAATACAGCGGGACAAGTCTCCACCATTGTCTCTTCCAAATTCATGTTTGCCCTTCTCTGTCCCGAAACAAACTATTTACAAATTCGTAGGATTTTCATATTCATAAATTCATAGATTTCAGATTCATAGATTTAAAGCTGGAAGGGACCACAGAGACCATTCTAGGCCAATTCTGTTACATATGGGGAAACCGAGGCTCAGTGATGTTCATTGATTTGCCCAAGAATGCACAGGTGTTGACAGAGGCTGTACTTGAACTGGGGTGCTTTGATTCTAGAGCCAGTGCCCTTTCCTGAATCACACATGTAGTGCTTTTGGGGGGGGGGAGAAACTTCTGTGCTCACAGGTGGCAGGAAGTGGATGGGTACTAGACTCTGATGTAGTAATACATACAATTATAGTCTCCCACTCCCCTCTTTGTCCGATATACTGTGCTCAGAGATTACTCTATGTCTCTGTGTGGTTATAGAAAGTTAGCATTTACCAACATGCATCTGTCTACTTTCTCTTAATGAAAAAAAAAATAACCTTTTGAAATCCATGGGGTTATGGCAGGTTAAACATGGCTTTGAGGTGTTTGGATGGGTAAGTAGTCTTCTTGACAACATCTTTTCTCCTCTGGTGCATTTAATTTCATGTGTAAAAGTATTATTGAAGTTTAGGGTAGCAGTTTATAAAATAAAAGCCTCTTCTAAGGATCAACGACAACAACAACAAACTGCATAGAGAGAAATGTAAAGTCCTATTCTTGGGTCCAAAAAAAAAAATCAACTTGACAAGTACTTCAAGATGAGGGAGGTGTGGCTAGACTATGATTTATCTTATTTAGAGGACTCAGGTCAATATGAGTCAAAAGTACAACCTTGCAGTCAAAAAGGCCAATATGATCTCAGGCTGCACTAAGAAAAAGAAGCATAGTGTCCAGAACAAGGCAGGTAATAAAGTGAATTTTACTCTATTTTGGTCATACCATATAGGGAATGTTTTGGGCACCACCATCTTTTAGTAAGGACATTGAGAAGTGGAGCATGTCTTGAAAAGAGCAACCAAGATGTTGACAAATCATATCTTGTGCCAGTTTGAAATAACTGGGGTTATTTATCTGGCCTGTGAGGGGAGGGGCAGGTATCTTCAAATATTTGGAGGGCTGTCAAGTGAAAGAAGAATTAGATTTTGGAGAAATTTAGGCTTGATAGAAGGAAATATCTTAACAATAAGAACTAGTCAAGTGAGAGGTGAGTTGCCTTGGGAGAAGGCAGTGGGTTTACCCCTCATTAGAGGTCTTTAAAGTGGGAATGTTAAGGGAGTATGTCTCGGGATGGTTTGGGCAAGATGGTTTCTAAAGTCCCTTCCAAATCTGAGAATTTATGATTCTTTGAAATATTACCTCCTCCAGGAAGGCTTAGCTAGTTGGGGGACCCCTACTTTTTGTTCTACAGAGTTTGGAGTCTGAAGCTGAGAATCTTCTGTTTGGGAGATGAGAGGCCTCAGTAACCAAGGTTCTGGAGGGAACAAGACAGGAAAACCTGAAAAATTAATTGTCTGGTTCCCAAGCAAGCGTTTCTGCTTTTTCTAAAAGAGCTAGAAGAAGCCTGTGAACTTGAAACTGAGAGAGAATATCTTCTTTTTCCTAAAGAAGATATGGTGAAGGATTTCAGTAAAGCCAGAAGCAAGCAGTGTCTGATATAGATTTTGGGTCCAATAGAGCAGCATCCCAGAGAGAGACTGCAAGAGAGAAGACACAGAAGTGAGATGGAGATGATCATCATGGCTCTGTAGTGTAGGTGTGAGTCATCCCTCCATACATGTGCCTTGGCCACATGTGTTCCCTACATTGTGATTCTCCATATGTGTTCTCTATGTGTGTCCACTTATCCCACTGATGTTTTGTTTTTGTGGGAGAGAGAGCCCAAGGTTTGTTGAAGGGAGAGGGAGAGAGTTCCTTTTCTTTCTTTCTTTCTTTCTTTTTTTGGCTACTTTGCTTACTATAGCATTTCATTAGATGCCTTTACTTTGAACCAACTGTATCCTCTGGCTGATTAGTGAAGGTAAACACTTTGCCTCCAATGCCTGAGCTATATATAATTTTAGGATATGTAGACCTACTCTGAACCTAGGGAATCAGTTACCTGAGTGACCCATCCTGCAGCCCAGCAAGTTGGTTGGGGGTGGGGGGGGCATTGCTTCCAGGCTGTACACTGTGATTATCTGTTTTTGTCCTTTCAGTTCAATTGTTCAGGTTTTCTCGGCAAAGATACTGGAGTGGTTTGCCATTTCCTTCTCCAGCTCATTTTACAGATGAGGAAACTGAGGCAAACAGGGTTAAGTGACTTGCCTAGGGTCCCACAGCGAGTAAGTGTCTGAAGCTGGATTTGAACACAAGTCTTCCTGACTCTAGGCCTAGCATTCTATCTACTGCACCACCTAGCTACCTAACCTACTATTATTTGAGCAGGTACTATACGTCTGGGACAATGTTCCCTACACAGTAGAAATTTGGTAAATATTTGCTGAATCAATGAATGGCCATGGGGTTAATGCAGCTTTTCAGCTATGTGAGTGTGTGATGTGTATGCGTGTGTTTGTGTGTGTGTGTGTGTGTCTGTGAGTGTGTGTGGGGTGGGTGGGGTGGAGAGGGGCTGAAGGGGGGACAGTGAGTTATGAATTCTTTGTAGGAGTCTTCATCATCCATTCTTAGCAGGGCCTCATTTGTTGTGATTATTCCTAAACTCAGTTCCGATATCTTTCCCACCAGAGCTACTATAATTTTTCCAGGGGTCACTCCCTCACTCCATTAGTCTGTCAAGTACCCAAGGGCATAATAATTCCCCTCTGCATTCCCCAACCTCCTCAAAAAAAAAAAGCCAAAAAAAAAAAAAAACCTCATGGACAGTGGAGAAAACCCAAGCAAGAACTGGATCTAAGACAGATTTTATTGGTTTTAATCAGGGATGTTGCCAGGGCTGAAGCTTCTACAGACCCAGGCAGGTGCTCCCTCCCTTTGTGTTTCCTTAAGAGTTTCTTATGAGTCCTAGGACTGCCCACTTCTCTCTGCTTCTGAAAGGAGGGGGACCAGTTTGGTATCTCTGAGCATCTGGGTTCTGGAACCCTTTCCACCTCGAAGGTCCATTTTAAGGGGCTTGGGCTCAGAAGTGTGGGAGGAGGAGTGCTCTGAAGAGAGAAGGGTTAGGAACAGTGACTGCTGGACATCTAAGGAAAGGGGAAGCACCCAGAAATACAGGTTTAGGAGTTTAAGACTCAGTGGAGATCCTTTCTTCCATGTCAGACCCCGTGTTTCAAGGCTGACAAGTTCTGGGGTAGCTAGGTGGTACAGTGGATAGAGCACTGGCCCTGGAGTCTGGAGGACCTGAGTTCAAATCTGACCTCAGACACTTGACACTTACTAGCAGTGTGACTCTGGGCAAGTCACTTAACCCCAGTTGCCTTACAAAAAAAAAAAAAGACAAGCTCTGAGAGGACAGGTGGCTCCTTCAGCTGTGGGAGGAAGCAAAGGGAGAACTGAGGCAAAAGGTCCACTATCCTCTGCCCTGATACACCATCATCGCTCTGATGGCAGCCCTCTTCCAGCTTTCTATTGCCAGTCCTTCCACAAAAGTTCAGCTTATCATTTCTCCATGGGGCCCCTCTCTGCAAGGAGGTTGGCAAGCATGAGGTGGGTGGTATTCTCCTCAAGCTATGTTCTATCAAATAGGTAAATAATTTTTTAAGCTCTTTGTGTCAGGAACTTTGCTAAGCACTGTGAGTACAGTTACAAGCAAAAAGCATGATAGTCTCTGCCTTCAAGGACCTTACATTCTGATGGGGGAAGCAACAGAGGTTTTACTAGCAAACACTCCTGACAGGGGAGCGCTTTAATGCCAGACGGTTCCCAGGGAATGGTGGAACATCCACTAGCTGCCTGTGTGAACTGTCTGAGGATCTCTTGGGACAGATCAGTAGTCCTGACTTACTAAAGACATTGGCATCACAACTCTTCAACACCAACCTGCAAAGGGTGGAAGTCAGAGCAGAGTAGCCTGACACCTGAGGGATACACTTGAATGACTGAACCTTGGGCCTCCCTTTTCTTTTTTCATTTGGTTAGGCAATGGAGTTAAGAAATTGCCCAGGGTCACACAGCTAGTAAGTATCAAATGTCTGAGGTCAGATTTGAACTCAGGTCCTCCCGACTCCAGGGCCAGTGCTCTATCCACTGTGCCACGTAGCTGCCCCTGGATCTCCCTTTTCAACTCCTGAACCTGTACATTTCAGGGAAGAAACCCCAGCTTACCTGTTCAATCTTCATCCCCAAAAGTCTCACTATGAAGTACTTAGTAGCATGTGAGAGTCCAGAACCATCAGAGGAGGAGTCATTAGACAACGTGAGAACACGTGCAGGAAGGTGAGAGGTTGGTGTATAAAAGACAGATCTGCCTTTACTTTTCCATCTGAGACCACGTGTGTCCAGCCTAATACCTGGCTTTTCAGTTGCTGTTCAGCCTATAAGGCCTAGTCCCTCCTGTCCATGGAACTCCAAGAGCTGCCTGTCTCCAGCCCAGTTAAAAATATTGATCAGCCTATTCCATTAAGCCACATGGAACACCTGCTTTTTGCCATCAAATTCCACATCTTTAAACTTTTAATTAATTATTCCTTTCACCTGTTCAATTTAAAGAAAAAATGTGGATCTCCCTGTGGACAGCCATCCCTTATAATCCTCCTCATTGACAGCTGCTCCTCTCACTCTACATAGACATATTTCTTGCTGCCTGCAAAAATACTTTTATCTTGCCCATCCTTAAAAAACCCTCACTTCATCCCTCCATCTCTGATAACTCTCATCCTATATCTCTCCTTTCTTGTCTAAATCTCTTGAGAAAGTCATCTCCAATAAGTATTTCCACTTTCTCTTCTCACACTCTATTCTCACCCCTCTGAAGCCTGGCTTCTGACCTCATCAACTGAAACTGTACTCTCCAAATTCACCGATGACCTCTTAATTGCTTAGTCTTTTGTTCTTTT